TATATATATATTTTTGTTGTGGTACCCGCGTGAAAAATAGGTATCCAATAAATGGCAAACGCAAGTATTTAAGCTAAGAAATTAAATGTATTTACACAAGATACAAAAGGTAATGGTGTTAGTAAAATCCAGGAACGCCGGTTAGTATCAAATACAGATAGATATATACAGTCTCGAAGTAGGACTGCCTTAGAGTTTACGTGCTTGTAACTGACTTCTACAAGAGGTTACTTCACTCTATCCGACACTCACAGACGACTCCGGTACGACTCATCTTCTCTGCCTGACTGTGGCTATTTTATGGCAGCAGGACGAGTTATATCGAAAAGGTATATAACACAAAAGTATATATATATATATATATATATATATATATATATATATATATATATATATATATATATATATATATATATATATATATATATATATATATATATATATATATATATATATATATATATATATATATATATATATATATAAAATAAAAGGAATCCATATTGTTTGTAAGAGAGTAGGTCTTGAGAGGTAAGATGCTTAGCCACTTCAGTATTAATTAAAGATTTTGCCGAAAAGTGGTACTGTAGTAGTTTCATTATTCGTTTTAAATTCATTTAATTGGTAAAAATTTAGAATTATTATGCCCTTGAAGTTTTCTTTAAAAAAAAAAAGAGAGAGATTTTTATCTTTGTAAATCAGGAGATTTGTTTCCATAAGACTTCGTAATGGTGCTGGTGTTCATAAATGCCTTAGAAGACATCTGCAGCTTCTTCAACATCAACATTCGTTGAGATAAAAGACAAACAATTAAAATCATATTTAGGCTTTTTTTCATAGAATATCGTCAGAGAATTAAAATAACCTAATTTTTTGTTTGTTTTGCGCACGCGCGTGTGTTCCCGCGCGTTTGTTTATGTGCGAATGAATCGAATAAGAAGCTAATATTTGTAGGGGTTTTACGAGATGCCATGTTTCTGTTCTGTGTGAATAACAAGTAATTTCATTTTCTTTCATATGCCCTAATGTACTTACGTCGGTTAAGAGACGAAGGACGTGAGCGGTCGTCATTAGCATTAAACTTAAAATATTGTATCACCAAAAGTAAGTCGATGATCAAGTTTATATATACTAGAGCCCCAGTATTTTACCTGACCGGTGTCCTTTAAAAAGGTTTGGTTTAACTTATAAAATCCAAATAAGTGTGTATTTATTTAAGGCTACATTATTATCATTATGAATTCACGTAATTTTCTCTTCGTTTACTTTGCAAATTTTATCGTTTATGACTATGTATATGATAATTCTTTTAAGCATTTCACCTGAAGCAAGGCGGTTGTACCACTGGTTTACAGGGGGGGGGGGTACATAGAGTGAAGGTGAGAGAAAAAATGTGTAAAGGGAGAATGAGGAAATGATAAATGCTGAACGGAATTCAAGACACCAGAAGATGGTGATTGACGTCGCATTTACATTTTTGAAGATTGTAGTTATCAGTAAAGCTAGTAAACAGAAGTGATTGCCACAGGCGGGAAGTGCGAGAAAAGAAACTGATGGAGTAGAAGTGGCGGTTATATTTAATATTTCAACGGTTAAAGGGTGGGACCTAAATACTAGTGTAGTCGCACGCTTAAATTTATGTAGACAAGGCACCATCGAAAAAAGTTTGACAGAACAGTTGCCATAAAAATATTTGTACAAAAGACAGAGGGAAGCCACATCACATCTGTGAGAAGTGACTGGAGTCAAGATGCCAGGTCAGGACCGATTACATTGCAGATCCTTCTTTGGATTTTGTCGAGAACCTCGAAATGAGCAGCAAGGACACCAGACCAGATATGGCAACGATACTCAGTGCACGGAAAAATGGTAGATTTGTAGATATGTAAGATGGGCTCTGACAAGAAAAACCTTCTGACATGACAAAATTAGCCAGCTTTCCTTATAACCGATGCAGTTATTGATTCAATGTAGCTGTTCCCCTTCAAGTCACTCAAAAGCCAAGAAGACGGCATGAGATACTCTCCTGGATTCTAGCATCAGCCATGCTAATTATGGGCAGGGATTTATCTCTGCGGTGGCTTAATGAGAGCAGTTTCGTTATGGCGGAACATTAAAATTTACAAGCCATTTCCTACCAAAGTTTACCACTGCTTGGAGGTCCTTTTATAGAGCAGCGTCAAGGTTTTATGAGCGCTGCCGGGATTACTATTGAGATAGGAGTAAATGGTAGTGTCATTTGCATAGATGCCCACTTGGGAGCTGATGATATCATGAAGATCACAAGAAAGGATCTGGAAGCCTGCCCGTTTAGGACGACCATCATTTCACTATTTGAAAGGCATGATTAGATTAAATCAAATAAATCAATCATCCTGTAATACCGTAGCCCCGAAACTTACGCAGAAAACTAGCATACCATAATCTGTCAAATGCCTTCAAGATATCTAGAGCATCAGCTCGAGTTTAGTCATTATTAACTAGAGTATAATATATATATATATATATATATATATATATATATATAAAGACATTTTTATGTTTAACATTCTTTTTATAGATGAAAGTATTTTAGTAAATGCCCTGTTTATAATAAACAGTATTAAATAACATTTACTGGCCTGAATGTCCGAGAAGTTTTTCATAGAAAATATTAGTCCTTTGACAGGATTCGAACCTGCATCCTATACGGAACCGTCATTTAGCTTGACGTGCCTAATCGCTCGGGCACAACGGATCGTTCGAATGGCAAGGTCGAATTTACTGCTTATATACTTGTATCTATAAAAAGAATGTTAAACATAAAAATGTCTTTAAATAATTGTCGGGCTTTGTCCATTTCATAATAAATATATATATATATATATATATATATATATATATATATATATATATATATATATATATATATATATATATATATATATATATATATATATATATATATATATATATATATATATATATATATATATATATATATATATATATATATATATACAAGTGCCCATAAAGTTTGTGTGCGCTTTAAAATTCCATAACTTTAAAGTGCACATGAACTTTATGGACACTCTGGATATATATATATATACACATACATACATATATATATATATATATATATATATATATATATATATATATATATATATATATATATATATATACATATATATATATATATATATATATATATATATATATATATATATATATATATATATATATATATATATATATATATATATATATATATATATATATATATATATATATATGGATATTCAAGAGAGGGTTGCTTAGCCAGCAGATGCTCATGAACCTATCCAAACATATAAATAAACCAGGCATGTGGACTTTAGAGTCCTTTCTTAGTAGGGGAAGGTAACCAAGAATAGAGAAATCAGAGGAAAGGATCGAAGAGTTGAGATTACTCTTGCAGAGGGATAGAATGGCCGGAGACTTTTCAAAAAGGATCGATTCTATACCGTAGAAATTGGTACAAATACCACGAATGGTGGAGAATGAAAGGTTAAGGGGTTTAGGTGATTTTTCTTGACCCTGTTTTAGGTTTATTTTTGGTTGTTTATAGGCATGGTTTGTTATACTGGTACGGAGAAGGCCTAAGATAGTAGTAGCAGTCGGTCATTTGATGTCACATATGCAGAAGTGAAATGGCGCAGACTGCAACATAGTGTGGCATCGGTGTTGCCCATCGGAGGTACCTGCAGGGACACCTTTCCATGCGCGATATGGCACTGCAAGAATCCCGATATTATGTAAATGTTTAATAGATGTCAGTTATCAGTTATCTCCTGTTAATTCACATCTCCAAGTTCTCCAACGCCTTAACTGGGTACTGAAGGACAAAGTGGATAAAAGTGTTACTTATCTCCAGTGACAAGGAGAACTTGGAGAGGGGAATTAACAGGAAATAACTGACATCCATTAAACATGGCACATGGAACTACAAGTCTACCCCAGTGAGCGGAATAAAGGGTTCAGTTCGACATTCCAACCACCTGAAGAAGGCCGGAGCTTATAACGGCCGAAACGTTGTAATAAATATGGCGACAAAGATGAGGACAATAGTCCGAATAATGTAAATAGTGTACATAATACCTCATCTCAGAAATATAAACAGATACTGAAGGATCTATTGTTGTTACATGCAAAGTTTTCAATGTTGTCAGATCACCGGTTCGAAATATAGTATCAAGCAATTCGCTAGTCTCTACAGGAAACGAATAAAATTAAAATTGGTACGGATTCAGTGGAGAGCAGATTACTCGGTTGCAGAATTAATTTCAACTCGGAACTAATAAATTTGGGAAGTTTTCAAACGAAATTAAAGTTTAATTTATTGATTTTCTTAAATTTTGATTAAAAACGGTGTCTTTTGAACGAAAGGTTTTTACAAAAAACAGCTAAGCAATCTAGAGTTCTTGCTACAAAGAACATTGCATTTTTCATTGGATCAGATTTAAATGAATAAAAATAAAAAAAGTACCACTTTATTCATTTGCAACAAAAAAGAATGAAAGTTGCAGAAAAAAATTCTGAATTATCTTATCTACTAAGGATTTTTAATGCTAAATTAAAAAATTAACACCAACTCATTGCAACTTGTTTAGGAATTCACTGAAATTGATAACTTTGATTTTAAATCGATTTGAAATTATTTCAGAGTTGAAATTAGCCCTGAGTTGAAATTAATTCCAAGTTGAATTTAATTCCAAGGGGAAATTAGTTCCGAGTTGAAATTAATTCCAAGTTGAATTTAGTTCCGAGTTGAAATTAATTCCGAGGTGAAATTAGTTCCGAGTTGAAATTAGTTCTGTCACTCGTCACGAGTCAAGAAAAATACTTTTTAATTTAACGCGGTTGACGTTATTTATGATCTCCCTAGGATTTATAGGAAGGAAATAGTTTTTTAGACATAAGTCACTCAGCACAGAGTCAAAAATGAGTCATCCCAGAAGTTTCAGCCCAGCTCAAGAATGCTAACTTCTCTACGCGACACGACAACTTCCCTTACCCCTGTATGAAAAGCCATTGGGGAAAACAAGTGGACAACTGATGACGGTGCCAGAGTTAAGGATAAAACGTTAAATGAGAATATTCATATATTTGGCTGAATTTTTTTTTTTTTTTTTTTTTGCCAACCTTTTCAACGAATACATTTTCTGGGAATTTAAATAAAGAACTTTTTTATTTTTAATAAAAGCATTACTGTGCAACCCAAATATTCCAAATACAAAACTTTTATTCTTCAAAAACATACACCAAAGAATTTATACATATCGACTTAACATGCAAAACCATCCTGTATAAATAGAGAAAATGAGTTGCATTGTAGTATATTTGAGTCACCTGTACAAAATATGTTTATTTTATAAATTCATTTTTGACAAATTAACAATTTTTTTGTCAACGTTCGTTAACAAAGAATTGTTTTTTCTTTCTTCAGGTTTTACCTGAATAGATTTCAGTGAGAAAAGTGTATTTTTCACATTCATGTATACAGAGCAGATGTTTTGAGTAGACACGTGACAAGAAATGTAAAAGAGCAGAAAAGAAAGAAAAAGTGAGTGTATTGTTTTCCCAATATCTGGGAAGGGTTACTATTATTGAAACGGCCATCCGCCATTTAAAAAAAAAAATATTTTTAAACTGAAGTTACATTGTCAGTCATCAACTAATAATATACAGGGTGTTCCAAAAGTTACGTGACAATTGGCAGAAAAACATACGCTTGTGAAATAGCAACCAGAGAAAATTTACAGACGGTTTATGTGGAAATTCTAGACTTTTTGACTGAAGCGGTTGATAGAGCCAGAATTATTTGATCAGTTGCAGATTCATTTTTAAATACTCGGAGAAGGGCTTCATATATATTGACCAAAGAGAATTGATTTCTTGAAGCCCTTGTGAAAACTTGAAGTGAGCCGATATGACGATCGCTTTTTTAATAAAAAGGAATGCTATGAGCGGATGACAGAAAAGTAAAGAATGTGACGAAGGAGCAGTTAACAGAGGAGTCAATTAGTACCCGCGCTTCAAAGGAATAGTCCAGCAAAGGAGGTCATAATTCAAGGGCTGACCTATTCAAGGCAGATTTTTTTACCCCAAAACTTAAATACCTTTATGAGCCTTCCGGTGTGAACTTTGTAAATTTTTGTGCAACCCTTTTATTATACCTTTTAGTGTTTGTAATTTGTATCTTCCTGTGTCTCTGTCAGTTTATTTATCTCCCCACTCTGTCTGTCTGTCTCTCCTCGTGTATCCGTTATTTTCTCTCTCTTTCTCCTCGTATCGGTTATTTTCTCTCTCTTTCCCCTCGTGTATCCGTTATTTTCTCTCTCTATCTCCTCGTGTCTTGACATTGAAGGTAGCCACAAGTTCATTTATCGTCTTATCAAAAGTTTTCGAACGAAATAATAGTTTGTTTTTTTTTAACAACGATGTTAGTGTCATTGAAGAGGCGGTTCTTGTGTGTATTTCTTAGGAATAATAGTTGGTCAATATCGCTGAAGAAACTAACAGAGAGTAGCATTGGTCCAACAAAAATTGTATTTATATATTGTATTTATTTTCAATTTTTCTAGTTGAATTGTTTACAGAAAGTATGATCCATTATTGTACATAATTAAATTACAAGAAAATGTTCATTTTATATGGAAAAAAACTGTTATGAAAATTGCAGTGATTTTTTTATAACTCCAATTTTTGAAAGCGAAATTCAACCTTTTCTCTGTCTTCATCATTTTCTTTCTCTTTCTCTTTCTCTTTCTCTCTCTCTTTCTCTCTCTCTCCCCTATTTCTCTCTCTCTCTCCCTCTGTCATTTTCTTTCTTCCCCTCCCTCTGTCAGTCTCTCTTTCTCCTAGTGTCTCCCCTCTCTCTCTCTCTCTCTCTCTCTCTCTCTCTCTCTCTCTCTCTATCTATCTATCTATCTATCTATTTCCTCTGTCATTTTCTTTCTTCCCCTCCCTCTGCCAGTCTCTCTTTCCCCGTGTCTCCGTTATTTTTTCTCTCTTTCTCCTCGTGTTTCCGTTATTTCTCTCTCACCATCTCTCTCTCTCCCATATATATATATATATATATATATATATATATATATATATCTGTCAGTACTGTTTTTTGTTTTGTTTTTTTTTGTTTTTTTGTTGTTGTTTGCATCACAGGGCCAGTGTGGGAAGGGAGGTACAACAAGATGAACTGTTAAAACATTTCATTGAAAATGTACAAATGCCTTTATTCAGCTATGAATCGTATTAGAGGAAACATCTTTTTCAGTTTTTTTGTGCAAATAGGTGACAGGACCGCGTGAAAAATACAGTAAGTCATGTATCAACGTAAATTATGGATAATCATCTCATTCATCAAACATTTACGGAAAAGTTCTATCCTTAGCCTAACACTAATCCTAAAAACCCCTAATTGAATATATTTTTCCGTCAAACGATCGACAAAACAGTAAATACATTAAGTTATGTCATGTATTAGCACCGAATTGTTTTTTATTTTTTGTTTTGCTTTTTTTCTTAGAAAATTTAGTTTTTTCGTGATTTTTTTTTTTCATGTGTTCTGTTGGAATGATTGTAAAACTTTTTTTCAGCAACATATAGCAGAGAGAGAGGGGCCTCGTATCCAAGTTTCGTTAGTGGGGGAAGATCCTAGCGCCAAACCTGTTTCCAGTGATCGGGTTGTTGCATTTGAATTAGTTTTATTAATGAGAATTGAAACGTGTTCTGCTATTAAAATACACTCAGAGGAATAAATGCTGCAGATAAATGCGAATAATTCGTCTCAACATGACCAAGCGATGATCTACAAGTATTTCCTTAGAATAAATTGAATGATTTAGGGAAAGGTCTCAGCTTTTCGAGAGAGAACGCAGAGCCTTGCGGTGTAGATGAATAGAGAAATATTAATGTTTCTCTTGTCATCAAAAGAAAGAAAACGAAAAGATGAATCCTTGCACCGGATTTTGTCTTGTGCAAAACTTTGGTATATATTACAATGCTGAATAATGGAAACTATAGATTAATTAAAATTAAATCTTAAATGGACACTTGTTCATGAATCAATAAATGTTGTATATTCCGTGAATTTAAATGAAACATAACAGAATTTGATAAATGTTCTGGGGAAAGGTCATTACAGTGAAAACTGTTGTCTTTTATATTAACTTAAAAGTTCCGTGTATATTAAAGGTTCTGCGGTCAGGATGTCCGAAATTCCCATATTTTATCTGTGAGTTGGGCGGTTCAAAATAGAATGAATCGACAGGTTTATACCCAAAATATCATCGAAATTAACATTTAGATTCCAAGAAATGTTACGCTGCCAATGCTACATCTTGGGTTAATGAAGCGTCTTTTTAAGCCTTATCCAAAGTTTTCTGGTTGGAAAGAGAACATATTTATTGGATCCCGTATAATTTGCAGAGTTTGATGAAAGACATGGGGCAACAGGCTTGAGTGGTCATCAAAGAATTATTTCAAATGTTATTAATAACAAAAACAACAGCAACACCAATAATAATAATAATATCATACATAATAGCATGGATCCAAAATGCAGGTCCTTGTGACATATATCAGGAAACTATGAACCATTTAATCTCAGGATTTTCTATACTTGCGCCAAATGCATATAAAAATCGTCGCAATAGAGTCGGGCAATCCTTACACTGGACAATGTGCAAATTCTTTGGAAATGAAGTTCATAAACACTGGTATAAACAGCATCGGTTACAGAAATAGAAGACATCACATTTCGGTTACAGAAATAGAAAACATCACATTTCTATGGGATTAAACAGGAAGATTGAAGCAATTAGGACGGACATAATTGTCTAAACAAAAAAGAAAAATCTTAATAATTCATATAGCAGCCAATGAATTTGGAAAAACTATCGAAGTATAAAGACCTGGAAATCGAAATTGATAAAAAAATGGAGAAATTGTAAACAAGAATAGTACCAGTCATAGTAGGTGCGCTTGGAATGATAAAAAAGGAACACAACAACACTTTGAAAAAATCACTAGAAATCCCAGCTTAAGAGAAATACCAAACATTGTCTTGATGAGTACAGCCCACACACTAAGAAGTCCATTTAACTCTAGTGATGTTATGGGAGTTAGAAAAACAAATCATGAAACATAGCCATAACAACACACTACTACCTGCTTTCTTCTTCTCACAGACTTGGTAAGTCGTGTCACCATGGAAGAAATTGAATAATAATAATAATAATAATATTAATAATAATAATAATAATAATAACTTAACTGATAACTTGAACATAATTACCCCTTGGTGTTCAAGGTAAAAGCACACCACGAATCAGATATGCCAAATATGGAGACCTATGGTAGGAAGTGATATAAGACCTCACCTCAACCCAAACCTGCTTGCCAATGTCCGCAGGGACATTATGTGAAACAAGACTTCAAATGTAGAAATAGATAAGATAAAATTAGATATTAGACAGAATCCTATAAACCCATCACTCAAACTGTAAAGAGATGAAAGTAGAAATAAGTAATATGACATCGGACGAGGTATAAACTAAAATAAATGAAATACATAATAACTCCCGCCCAGGAAATAAAATCGAAGAATCTACCTGTGATATAACCTGCAGTTATCCAGGCGATGTCAATGAAGATGACTCCAACTACATTAAATTAGAATTCCTTGAAAACCACAGACCTGAAATCACCGAAGTAAAAAACCACGTCATTCCAGTGTTCAAGAGATTAACTCTCACATAAATATCAGACAGAGACCATCTTCCAAAAATTCATATAAGCATATTGTGCAAATATACAACGCTGATCTGGAAACACTGTTAATGGATAAACCACTTGGAAATATCACAGAAGTTTACAACGTCATATACGCAACAGCTTTAGCAGCTACTGGCAAACATGGGGTCAGGACAATGAAAAAAATTAACAAAAAGAAGAGCCAGCTTCGAAGGCAAAAACTGATGCGAGAAATAAAAGAAATCAGATGGGAGTTTTCTATATTAGATGAGCTCACTAGAAACCCACATATCTCAAGACGCAAATGCAAGATCAAGCGTAAATATAAAATGAAATCCCTAATTGAAATTCTATCAATCAAGGAAATGCTGAAACAGAGACTTCAATTAAAGGCACAGAGAACAAGACGATACGAAAAACGGAGCAGGTTATACGCCAAAATAAAATATTCCAAACGGACCTTAAGATATTTTACAGGGAAATTAGCAAAGCACCAATGCATGTCGAAAAGCCACCATCTATTCACAATAGATTTAATAATCGTTTAATGATCTATTGGAATCAACATCTTGTATCATATCGCACAGTGTTAGCACCCACTGAATATAAAACCCGGCATGACAGAGTGGGCTGATGTCTGCACTGGAAAATCTGCAACTTCTACGGAAAAGAAACTGCAAGAATTTGGTATGAACACCACCCAGACCCGGTTACGGAGATAGGACTTGGTACAATTCTATGGGACTACACACTACACACAGACAAAACAATCAAATCTAACCACCCAGACCGCAAACAAAAAAAGTGCCTCCTTATTGATATGGCAGTCTCTGCAGACTGCAATGTATCTTTGAAGATCTTCAAAAAGCTGATATGGCACATGGGATCAACAACACTCTCTGTTGTAATTGGAGCTCTCGCGTTGGTTGGAAAAGATTCCAGCAAACCCATTGAATGGATTCCTGGTAATTCATGCCTTCATAAAATACAAAAAGATTGTTCTCACGAGTACAGCCCACACCTTACAAAGGGCTTTACCTATGCAAAGTATGTGTGTGTGTGCGTTTTTTTTTAGTTGGTCAGTGGAAAATTTCATGATGCCATTTCTAACTTTAGAGAAAGAAATGTGTACACACCAGAAATCACAGGAAATAATAATAATAATCAAAATTAGAAACAAATTTCTAGAATATGTTTATCAAGTTTCAAGAATTGAGTTGCAATATGTATCTTGCTAAAACAAGATGGAAGATTCCCTCGAAATACTAAAGAGTTCAAAGATGGAAGCAGGGACATTGGGATATTACTATGAAGATAGATACTGCTTCATAATTCATAAATACTTACAACTAAATAAAAGTTCTCCACTGCCTTAACCGGGTATTGAACTTGGGTCCTGGATTTAACCAACGCCTTTATCCACTGTATCATGTGTCCTTGAGGACGTCTGTGTATGAATTTCTGGGTATTATAAACCTAATGTCTCAGTAACAATCTTTTACCAGTGCTGATATTGCAATTTTTTTCTGTTGTCATTGCACATTTTTTCCAGAGTTCATATTGCAATTTTTGTTGTTATTTTCGCTTTTTTCTGGCACTCCTTATTACTGGTTCCCATATTGTATTCATTTCTATGCTTGGTCGGCTCAGGAGATTTTTGTGGCTTAACATATGTGCTGGTTCCTTAAGTTTACGAATTTTCCAATGGTGTTCATTGTCTATGATCTCAACCTGATCCCACAGAGGGCGGTGATTTCCCTTTTCTCTCTATATGTGGTCAGCCACGCCTGATTTTTCCACTTCCTATCGTGTTACAGCTTTCTAGTGTTCTTGAAACATTACCTTAAGGGAGCGGTCTGTCTCCCCTTTGTATTTCTTTCCGCAGCTGCACGGTATAGCGTACACACAGTCTTTAGTCATGTTCTCCTCTATGGGGGAGGTCTTACACTGGAGAGATATCTGCGAAGTGTCGTCCAGCTTTTAAAGGTTGTCCGGATGTTATATGGACCGTAGATCCTTTGTATAAGACAGGCAGACTGTTTTCTGAGTGTTGTTATCCTCCTATCCCAGTTTTTTGGGCTGCTGCCATGTACTCAGGGTAGTTCTTACGATGTAGGGTTCTACTTATACTGACCAATTCTTTATCTAATGTCTCTGTCCAGTGAATGTCGGTTTACCCATGCTCTGTTCGAGATATTAAAACATCCAGGAATAGGAATGTGTTGTTACTCTCTTTCTCCAACGTGAACTGTATCGAAGATCTTATTGAGTTCGCATGGTCCAGTAGAACTTGAACATCTTCCTGGTGTAGCCAGGGTATGAAGGTGTCATCTACGTACCTTAACCATAGAGTTGGCTTTAGAGATATAGATTCTAATCTTATTTCCTCAAAGTATTCCATGTATAAATTCGCTATTGCTGGTGATAATAGCGAACCTATTGCTAAGCCCTCATCCTGTCGATATATGTGTGATCCCATTCCGAAGTGCGTTGTTTGTGTAT